AACCGCGGTCATGATCCGGCGGGTTCCCGATGGGTTTCCTATATGAATCCCATTTGCAAACTCAAATGGGTCCCTTACGGTTTTAAAGTACGGTATTTGACTGGGACCCATACGGGATACCCGTCGGGCTAACCCATATGGGTCCCATATGGAAACCGCGGCCATGATCCGGCGGGATACCGTTAATATATATATATATATATATATATATATATATATATATATATATATATATATATATATATATATATATATATATATATATATATATATATATATATATATATATATATATATATATATATATATATATATATATATATATATATATATATATATATATATATATATATATATATATATTATTGACCTTCACACACACACACGCACGCAAATCTTTTATTTTATATAGCATTTTATTTTATACAATAGTTTAATGCAATGTTATAGGTAAAAAACAAATCAATAAATTAAACTAGATCTGCTAAATCACATTATATTAACAATAGTTAAACAAGATTAAAGTAAAATTCACGCAATAAGTATTGCTGGAATTAGTAATAAATTATATAAATGCGACTGTGAAAATGCAATAAACTTTATTGAGGATTGACGCTTGGACAATAGCCTTCGAGAATAAAACTTTTATAGAAAATTTATATCTAGATATATTAAAAGCTTTCGACATATTTCACATTTATCTTCTACTTCCAAAATCTAAAGTTTATGGAATAGATAACAAACTCTACAATTGGATTGAATGTTACCTAAGAGATTGACAGTAGAGTATCATTGTTGGTGGTACATACTCAGAATGGATCTTAGTAAATAGTGGGGTCCCCCATTATTTAATTTTAAGATATATACTAATGATTTTTTTGATTTGGTTTTAGATGTTATATCTGTATTTGCAGATGATACTAAGTTATACAGCTTGCTTTTTGATAGCTCACCATGCAATATCCTGCAAAAAGATATGGACATTATAGAAAATTTATATCGAGATATATTAAAAGCTTTCTGGGCAAAATTATGAAAACTAAGTTTTAATGTAAAAAAATTTAAATTTATGCTCTTAGGACCAACAAACACAAAATTCAGTTATATATTCGTTGATACAAATATCAATGCATCAATTAATCTTAAACACTCTCTCGTCAATAAAGGCTTTATGATATTCATTGACAGTAATTTGACATTTATTTTGTAAGTACAAAGAATAACACTTTGTTTATTTTCCTTTTTTCATTCTCACCTTGTTTCTTGCAGCTCTGCCTACTATCCTAGGCATTAAAAAGATCAACACTAATTAAAATTATTCTAAGTAAGTCTATTAAATATGTTATTAGCCAGACTGGACTCACTTAAAACCAAAGAGTTTTGCGACTAAATTTAACTAGCATGAGCTATCCTTTCTTACGTAATGACATGGCAGAAACATAAAAATGTATTCACAATCTTTATAAATGTAGTTACCACTCTTTTGTTTCCTCATTAAATACCATTTAGTATTTTATCCATCAACACCTGTGTTAGAGTTATGCCATCTGCACGGCCGTTATATTCATCATAGTAACCACAGAAGGTATGGTAACATTAAGCAATTAATTTGAGTTGTAATAGCACGCGTGTCAGTATGGCGGTTTCTTAAATTTAATATATAGATTATATATTTAGTTTAGAATAGTATTTTTTCTTCCATTATGACTAACCCCAACTTAACCTGCGGTCATGCTTATAAATTGAAAAAAATGTTTTGTAAGACAGATGTCCAAAAAACTTTTTCATTATGCAATTCATAAATTTATAGCATATTTTACCATCTAAAATAGTGTGTTCAATACCTGTCACAATGTTTCAAAAACATCTAAATGCATATTGCGTACATCAAATGTATAATTGCATATAAACAATTAGAACGAAACAAAAAGATAAAATAGAACAAAAGTTTGATAGGCTAATTTTATATACCTAATTATTCTATTTGTAAATTTATTACCTTAGAAAAAAAATAAAAATAACAACAATAACAATAATAACAATATGTTATATCAAAACTTAGTATCACGTTTTCAATATCATGTTTTCTTCATTTAAGTTGATTACTTAATTTTTTAGTTTCTCCGTTCGATCATAAAAATTTTTATAAAGATGTTTTCGTGAATTTCGAGTATTTCTTTTAATTGTGCCAATGTAAATTTTTTGCCCTTATGATAACGTAAAAACGCGTCTGTTCGATTCAAAGTGTTATCGTGAAAAAAAAAAAAAAAAAAAAAGTTACAAACATTGCTTAGAAGAATTCTTTATCTTTATTTAGATAAAGTAGAACACCAATACTTTATGGTTTTAACTAAGACATTCTTTAAAATATTTGTGTTGACAAATTTAATGAACATGATAAAAAATATGATATCAATTAGAAAAATTCATTGAAATTCATTTAAAATTGAGAAATTTCAAAATATTTCTTATAAAGGTAGTATTAATGTTTTGTTTGTATCTAGTGTTTCCCCATCTCAAGTTTTTTTCTGATTGAAATAATCGGTTTTTAGCAGAATAATTTATTTGAAAACAGCTAATATTTTATGCCAGACACATAATTAGTTAATATGATTTTAATTCTTAAAAAAAAGAAAAAGGTAGTTTAACTAGATATATATTCAATTAAGCAGTAATAATATAATAAAAACTTTAAATGCCTAATTTATAGAGTCTAATTGTCATCAGCGTATATAGCTGTGATTTTTTGAGTGTTAAACGAGATAAATAACAAATTATTACATCAAAAAATGAGTGCAGGTGTTATATAAAAGCAATCAGAAAATAATTTTGCACAAGACACCTTTTTTAAAAATATTATCTTTTTTTCTAAATTGATTTCATATAAATATTGTTTAAAATATATAATTCACTTTAACTATAAATTGAAAACCTTTGCTCAAAAAACCTTGAAAACAAACTTAAAAACTGGGGCCGTCGATTAATTACGTTAACAAAACAGGATAGAGGGGTGCTTAAGTTCTTTGAGGGGGGATTTCAAATTTTCAAATGTGAACTTAAAAATGGACTACTCTCTAGCGTTTACTAACTTACAGCAATATCTAAAGGTAAATGAATAAATACTAAGCAATCTAACCACTTCACAACTAACGCATAACCAGATTTATAAAAATTACTTTGGCATAATAACCATAATACTGAGGAGTATGGGCAATTTTTATAGCCAAATTAAATAACTTTTTTTTATGTAATGCATTCTTTAAAAAAGTTCATTTTGAAAATGGTTTCAACCTCCTCTTTTGCCTATTTTATTTTAAAGATATTTGTGTTTTATCATTCGGTTTTTGGAGCTTTTAATAAATTTTTGCAAACTATCTTGTATATTTTTGGCACCAAAAACTGAGAGAAAAAATAAGTTAAATGATATTTTTGCGGTATTTTTCTGTAAAACAATTATGTATTTAATAAATTTATTAAATAAAGTGAAATAATATCAAGAATCCAAATTAGTTATACTATATATTAATTAATTATACTATATTTCATTATAATTAATTACAACTATATAAAACAAATTGATTATATTACACAATTGATATATATGTTTAGTTAACTAAAACACTACTCAAATAATTTTAGTTAAACTAAAAATTTAATGGACTAACTTTAGTTTGACTAAAACGTTTGTCGACTAAAAATAGTTAAACTATAATGTTAGTTCTATTAATAAGTTAGTTTACTACTTATAGCTAGGGTTTTTTTGGTTTAGTTAGTTACAATTTTTAGTATTGGTCACAACACTAAAAACAACTTGAGTTTACCGGAATAGTTTTCAGAACTAAAATTATAATTAAAAAAAATAACAACTTACAGAGAAAAACGTAATTGCAAAAATAACGGAGTGCTGGAGCGGATTCATCCCTTCACTGTAAATCATACGCCGTAAAACTAACTTGATATTCATATTGTAGTTTTGAAAATATCCTAAAATATTTTTTTATTTAAACATTTTTAAAAAGAGTTTTAATAAATTTTAATTACAGAGACGTGTTCGTCTTAAATTTACAACCTTATGTTTTGTTTATTAAAAATTTTTATACTAATCTGCAAAACTATTTTTCACAAGATTATTTGATAAGTAAAATAATTACTGCTTATTATAAGGTGTGTTTTGTTATTATGTACAGACTTTTAAAATGGCGCCATTCGCAGAAATATATGTGTACACTTAAAAATAAAAAATAGTAAATATTTTTTTATAAAGCTATATTTTCCGAATAATTTTTGCTATATTATACTACCGTAAACAATGCTATCAAAAAAAATGACCACTTCATTTAAGTATGGTTTCGAAACTTTATAATAATGAATGCTGTTGCCGTGAAGAAGAAAAATAAATCATTAAAGGTCTAAACTTTGATAAATAATTCAAACAAAATAAAAAGTTTATTAATTGCCCGTGTATTTGTGAAAAAAACCTGGTCATATATATATATATATATATATATATATATATATATATATATATATATATATATATATATATATATATATATATATATATATATATATATATATATATATATATATATATATATATATATATATATATATATATACCCAGCCAACATTGACATACGGGTACCGTACGGGGCCCATACGGGTCGTCAACTGGGTCCCGTATGGGAAGACCAACGGTATCCCGCCGGATCATGACCGCGGTTTCCATATGGGACCCATATGGGTTAGCCCGCCGGGTATCCTGTATGGGTCCCAGTCAAATCCCGTACTTTAAAACCGTAAGGGACCCATTTGGGTTTGCAAATGGGACCCATATGGGAAACCCATCGGGAACCCGCCGGATCATGGCCGCGGTTTTCTTCTAGGGCCCGTATGGGTATGCCCGCTGGGTTTCCCGTAAGGGTCCCACGAGGTTTACCCATTGCAAATCTTGCAAAACTACGTTTAAATGTTTAAAATTTACAGAAAAAGCAAATTTATATATAAATTGATTGGTTTATTTCAAAAAAAAATAGTAATTAAAATTACACTATCAAAATTAAGCAAACTTTTGAACGATTCTTTAGTCATGTATCAAATGCTTTCACGTTTATCTCGGGAATTGGAAGCTTTTCCATTGTTGTTAAAACGACTTCTTTGAAAACCTCTTTAAACAATATCTCGTTTCAATATGAACTGTAAAAAATTAAGTTTAACTGTTAGTTTTAAATTTTATTGGTAACACATACATTAATTTTAATATGTTATAAAACTCTTACAATTTCTCCCAACTCTCTTCAGATAAAAAATGTAATTTTCACCATCAAAGGTACTTGTAAATAGATAAGCACATGCTTATGATTCATATAATAAATTGATAACATTCCTTTAGTTACTCATAAATAAATTATATAAAATTATTAAATAAATATATTTTATTTATATTGTATATAATTTGATATATATTGTATATACCTTATATACAGTGCCATGGCTACTAGATACAAGCCCCCCATTCCAAATAAAAACTTGTCATAAGGGCCCCAAAATTCCTAAAAACTAAATGAAAATCTAAATAAAAATCTTAAAAAAAAAAAAAATTCTTACATTTGTAAAAGGGCCCCTAAATTTGCAAATGAGCCCCCTAGACAAACATTTTTTAATTGACCCAGTCACCATGTCAAAATTTAATTTAATTTAACACACCACGAAGATGTTCAGAATGCTTTTAGTGACAAAAAATCTGAATCAGTGCTTAAAATTACTGAAATATGTAGGAGAATTATTTTGCCACACCACTCTCCATTCTAAGCACAACATTCGCATCAGTTATAACCATTGTGTCCTTTAATACACTTTACAAATGCTCTAGCTGGTGCATAACATATGATAACAGCAAGATTGATTTTAAACACAATATTTTCATAGATAAAACCATCTTTTGCAAGAACTTTGAAATCTACCTAAAGGTTATGTAGTTAATTAAGGTGACCTGCTTTTCTCATTTACTGAGTTTTTTTACTCTTTTTTCGCAAACCTTACTTTTTTCAAACACTGTACTCTGAAAGTACTCATTTGTATTTCTAAAACATTTTTTTTAATATTATTTCATTTCAATTTTATTAATTAAATATTTAAAATTATTTTGACAGTAATTTGAATTTCATGCGCACATATGGCTGCCATTTTCAACACAATTCCAGCCCGTCAGAGGACAGGGCAAACACCAGATACAAGTTTGACAGTGATATAAATTTTGAACGCACATATGGCTGCCATTTTCAACACCATTGAGAGGCCGTTTTATGAACCTGGAGAGAAAGATAAATACTACATACCTCTTTTTCTAACAATGTCAAAATTACATTTGTGAAAAGAGATGGATCCAACATTTGCATATGTAATCCCCAGGCTGATCTTTGATGTGCAGTATGTATGCCATGCTTGACAGTCTTGAGGCATGCGTAGTATGTACAGCAAAGTTTTTTATCCATTTATTTAATTAAATAAAAGGATAAAAAAACCTTACTGTACTTACTACGCATGCGCTTATGGTTAATTAACAATAAAATCAAAAATTACAAACTTAATTACAATTTACAAATTTATGTTCGGTGTCACTCATATTAAAAACAAGTCAATGGAGCGACACCTTTATAAAATAAACAAATAAAATAAAAAATAATAAGAAAGAAAGAAAGCTACATTAATACAAGTAATAAAAAAAGAAGTATAAGGAAAAATACTATTTAAAAAGTTGGAATTAACACAAAAATATAAATGAGTAATGCTAAGAAAAATGAAAAAAAAAAAAGAGAAAATGAACGGATGAGATAAGATGAGTGAGAAAATATGTAAGAGAAAACAAAAACTTAATCACATAAGTTCAGAAGGATAAAGTGACAGAAAAATTTTTTTGCAGAAAAATATAAAAAAACAAATTAAAGGCAAATTTAAATAAAAATATATATACATACACTACTATATACAATATTAAAGGCTATATTAAAGCCTATAAATCGGAAGAGTAAATTTATTTTTAAATGAAGAAAAATTAAAGAAATGGAACAATGAGAAAAAATGAAAAAAGATGGGTAGAAATCTTTCGGCATTTTAGAGTAGAAAATATACCACATGAAAATTTAAAAGTTTTAACAGAAATTTCTTTATGTTGTCCAGGCACTAATGCTGCTGTTGAAAAGGTATTTTCACTAAGAAATGATTATTGGAGCAGTGAGAAGTTGCAACTTTCTGTAAAAACATTATATGCCGTCTTAACAGTCAAATTTAATATGAAGTTTAATATGTTTGGATGCAGCTACATTATTAGACGAACATCCTCATCTAGCAATAAAAATCCACTCTGACGAAAAATATGTTTTAAAAAAAAAATAAAGTTTTTTATTGTTTTATCTACCTTTTTTTTTTTTATCTTTGAAATACTTGCAAAGTGTAATCTTTTTGAACAAAAGATAGTTGGTCCCTTTAAGATAATTAAAAATGGAATTAGATTTTTGGGCACCACTTTTTAAACAAATTTCTAAAAACATAAGTTGGGTCCCCTAATATTGTAAGTCCTAGGCCTAGGCTCTGATGGCAACATTTATAAATAGCAACAACTTTTGGCAAATTTTATTTAAAATTTACATGTATGTTTAAATTTTGTCACTATTTTAGATTTTCATTGAATAAATTCCTATATAAAAATATATTTTATATAAAATATTTATGGAGTATTATTCTCTTTTACTATCAGCTATCAAGATGATTAAACTGACTTGATCAGCTTCAGCATTAATCTGAAGCTAATGAGTTTATAGCTGAAGCTGAAATATCAGCTGCAACCCCTACTTTATAGACAACATAGTTAATGTGATGTATATACATTATAATAATAAATGTTTTTTTTTTTTTATACTCAAATACTTATTTTTTTACTTTATGATACATTTAAAAAAATTTTTTTAAAGACATGTTTTTTTATAATATTTAATACTTAGGAAATATTGAATTTTGCCGGATATTCTTTAGATAAAAATAATATTTACTTACATTACTCTAATCGAGGTTATAAACAACGGTAATATTTACTCAAGTTATTATATTTGTCCCCCAAAGTTAATGTAGTTCTATTATACATAAGTCTCTCACTAATTCTAATAATAAAAAGTTATTGCCATTATTACTATAATTATATATACTAACCTGTTATTATTAACATTTATCAAAAATACATTCTGGTTGTTGAAGTCACTTTTACTCATATCAATATGCAAATATTTTCAACAGTCAGAGTGCACCATGCAAAAATATTCTTTAACATGCTGCAAAATACAAGATATACATAAGATACATATCATATAAGACCTATTGCCTGGAACTTAACATTTTATATTGTTTAACTTACTGTAACTCAATTATAATAAATAAGCATATGGCTATAATCTATATAATAACTAACATCTTTTTTTAATTATTGTTATTTATGTAAAAGTTATTAAGTTAAATTAAAGTTTTATGAGTAAAGTTTGAATGCAAAAGTTTATATTAATAAAAAATTTTATCAGTATTATAAAAATAATTATTTAATTACAAGTATTTACAAGTATAGGTATTGTAAGTATAAGTTATTATTATGTATATTATGAAATTATTGTTTATATTGCAAGTGTACAGTTTTAAATCAAAATCAAAAAATATCAATGATTAAAAAATGAGGTTGATGCATAACAATAAAGCCATATTTTTGCATTTATACATCTAATTATATCTTTATTTATATCTGACGGTGGGTAAACTTCGTTAACATCAGTCATTTTGCTTGCATAAAATATAGAAAAATTAATGGAAAAGAGTGGATCTGTAAAAACGATTTAAAAGCTTTTAATTCCCTAAATATAACCTATCCATTACATTCTATTCGTCTGTTTGCTCTTTTTAAATGCTTCTGACTAAACTAATATTTTAATTAAACTCAAACCATTTATTATCTAATTATATCACTAGCTGCTAGTTTGCACTGTTTGCATTTTTAAAATGATCAAAATATAAAGTTGTGTTTCTGCTAGTGACTAGCAGAAACAAAACTTTATATTTTGATCATTTAAAAAATGCAAACAGTGTCTCAATGGAACATTTACTACAGGTTTAATAGTTTCTGGAACATATGTTCAACAAATATGTTGAACTTTATAAATTCATTTAAAAAATAGTATATATGTATTTATATGTATATATAAAAATTCTTTTATAATGATAATAAATAAATGAAATTTACATGTTATTTACATTACAATGAAATGAGTTTTACAGTGACAAAACACATCAAAAAAAAATTCTTTTTAATTACAATGTAAATATAATGTATTCAAAAAATGTAATGCATAAAAGTTAAATTTTTAAGCCCAGACAAAAACCATACGGTAGCCGTCTGTCAATGTTGGCTAGGTATATATATATATATATATATATATATATATATATATATATATATATATATATATATATATATATATATATATATATATATATATATATATATATATATATATATATATATATATATATATATATATATATATATATCTATATATATATATATATATATATATATATATATATATATATATATATATATATATATATATATATATATATATATATATATATATATATATATATATATATATATATATATTATATATATATATATATATATATATATATATATATATATATATATATATATATATATATATATATATATATATATATATATATATATATATATATATATATATATATATATATATATATATATTAGAATGATCCAAAAAAACTTTTTTTTAATTTTTGTTATTCCTAACGTCTAAATGTGTTCATTTATGAAAAAAAACATTGTTCTAAAAAAATCAGTCAAATCGGTTAATAATTAGAGGTCGTGCTGGGGCGATCTTTATACCCCTCTAAAATCGAAATTTTCAAAAGTTTAGTAAGATAATGACCTTTGTTTTCTGTGCACATTTTGTTTATTTACCGTTCAATTTTAATAAAATAAAAACGAATATAATGCTCTTATTACGCATAATAATTTTTATTATACAACATTAAACAACATTAAACAACAACAGCTGCTCATTGTCGCCTGGTTTGTTTAGCACTTAATGTTGATTTTTTTGCATCTGGTAAGAAAGCCCTGTTTTTTTTTTTTTTTGCATCTGGTAAGACAGCATTAAAGTCTTGTACTAACTTCACCCTTCTTTCGGGGCAATCATTAACAACTTTAAAAGACTTCACTACTTCTTTAGAGTCGGCATACGACTCATTGTTTTTCAAGTTTGAAGGATCCTCTTCATGAAAAAATACTTAAGAAATTAAAAATTGAAAGTGATTTACACGTTACAAAGTCCTCAAGGGATTTACTCATCACATTTGTAATATATGCTAATTTCTTTGATGGTCTATTATTGTCTACGCATTGACGCTGATGGGCAGTTATCATTTTTCTCTTAACTTCAATCTCTACATCATCACTAAAAAAGGCCAAAGATATAAGTTCTTCACTTAAATACCATAGACGCCGCTTTATTGCCTTGGT